TTTAAAGTACAATTAATTGTCCAGTTGGTGCAAGCTCATGTGTCTGAGAAGAGGGGCAGATCCCTCGTAGCAACAATAATGAGATGCAAATACGGTCTTAGAGGAAACAATACAAGGCTCAGTCAGTCCGATGGTCACCTCCATCTACAGCAACTTAACTGGTCCTACTACTTGCCATTGGCCATGGGAATGTATACATACGACTTGTATCAGATGGGCGTGGCCTAATGTCAAACCTATTGAAAGCTGAGGATAGGCTGGTTATGGTGGCTCATGCCTGTAATCCTAGCAGTTTGGGAGGCCGAGGTGGGTGGATCACTTGAGGTCGGGAGTTCCAGACCACCCTGGCCAACATGGTCAAACCCCGACTTTAATAATAATGCAAAAATGAGGTGGGCATTGGGGTGTGCCTGTAATCCCAGCTACATGGGAGGCTGAGGCACGAGAATCACTTAGAGCCCAGGAGGCGGAGATTGAAGTGAAAGGAATTCACACCACTGCACTCCAGTCTGGGCAACAGGGTGAGACCCCGTCTCAAAAAAAAAAAAAAAAAAAAAAAGCTAAAGATAACAATTCTTAAGTGACTTCCCTTTTTCAAGAAAAAAAAATCTGTTCTTGTTTTATAAAAGTTAGATACAAGAATTCCTAAGCCATGCTTTCAAAATACAACGCAGAACAATATTTCAATTTATTATTATTATTTATTTATTTTTTTTGAGATGGAGTTTCGCTCTTGTTACCCAGGCTGGAGTGCAATGGCACAATCTTGGCTCACTGCAACCTCCGCCTCCCAGGTTCAAGCGATTCTGCTGCCTTAGTGTCCCAAGTAGCTGGGATTACAAGCATGTGCCACCATTCCCGGCTAATTTTGTATTTTTAGTATGGACAGGGTTTCTCCATTTTGGTCAGGCTGGTCTCAAACTCCTCACCTCAGATGATCTGCATGCCTCGGCCTCCCAAAGTGCTGGGATTATCAAATTTTTATTAGCTGAGGAAATTATTTTTTGCATAAGTCTTACAAGAAAGGCACTTATAATAAATATAACAGTGGAGCTGCATGGCTGGATGGAAAAAATGGTGTCCTGGAGCCCAGCTCTTTGGCTCTCCCAGCCTCCTCCAGAAGGTAGCTTTGGTGAGCACAACTTGAAAGCCGGCGTACTACCCCAATGAGTCTCACTGTTTTCCCTGCTTGCAGCTTTGTTCCTGGAAGTTATGTCAAAAAAGTGATTCTCCCTATTAAATAGTGTCCAAAATAATTGTTTTATTTCTTACCAGAACTAACAAGTTTTATGTAGAGTGCTTCCTGCCTATGCATTATTAGAGCATGAATCTTCTAAAAAACCATAAAAATCTCTTTCCATGTTGGGCATATGGACTAATTGTTCATACCCCAGATAATATCTAGTCCAGGAATCAAACAATTGTGACTAAATATTCCACTGAAAATAAAGACATATCAGTTCATTAAGATGCCTTACAGACTTTGGATATCACAGCCAAGTATTTCTCCCCTCTCATTTTTCACATATACCTTTCCAGGATTTCAAGACAAGCTTTGAATATTAGTTCAGCCAATTAATAACCTGACTACTCTCGTCATTTCGTATTGTGTCTCTACCATGTTGAACTGAGTTGACATACAAACAAATAACAATGTATGTGGTTTCCATAGAGATGACACTGTCACTTGGAGATTTTGAAGTTACAAGACCTGTGCACATTTTAAAAAATATTACATTGTGATATAAAGAAGGAGAAGATGGGAGTATATAAAATAATGCAGAATGGAACCAAGAAAGAAACTAAAGAGAGAAATGGTTCCAGGGCTGCCTGGGAGGGTGTGCCTCCTCAACCCTACTCCAGGTTCTTGGTAATGAGGCAAGTGTGTGTTTTGATGGAATGAGAATGACTTCATGCTGCACCCACTTCAGTTTTCTCAGAAGCAGAGCAGCCTCAACATGAGACAGTCAAAATATTTCTCCTTCACAAAGAAATGTGGATCCACTATCATTCCATTAATTTTTGGCATCCTAGATGATATCATCTAGGATGATGTCAAGAGACCTAGAGCAAGTTTGAAACAAGGTGGAGGAACAGGAAAAAAAAAGCACAAAACCTGTCAATGATTATAAATGACAAGAGAAAAAACACACCTGGAAAATTTTCAAATCACAGTCACATATTATTTTTCACTTTTAGATGAGACAATATGAAGTCCTTAAAAAAAAACAAAACTGTGACTGGATAGCACTGAGGGACTGGTGACCATTCATATACCCTTGTAGGGGGTCGCACTTCTGGATAACAAGCACTGGCCTTGGTGCCATCTGTCTTAGCTCTTGGTCTGCCCTCTTTCCCCATCCATCTGACTATCCAGCCTGACCTCAGTGCTAGAGAGAGAGCCAGCTAGTGCCAAGCACGCCAGCTGCTTCTGTGACCTCACATGGGCAGACAGGGACAGGCACATAGGGAGGCTTCCCTGAGGTCTCATCATCATACCCACACTGGCCTGCAGAGAGGAGGAGATCCTCTATTGCACATAGAAGGCCTCCACAGCCATATCACTGGTGTCTGTTCAACCCGAAGGAGGAGGCTGATAGTGCCTGGCAGAGTTCTGAGTGCAAACCAGGCACCAAGAGTGGGGTGCCAGGAAGATGAACCGCAGGCCACTCCCTCTCTGCCCTCTGGCTCTTGTAAAAGGAGGCAGCTGGACGAGGTGGCTTCGATGACAGTCCTCACTCTTCTAGAATTCTGTGATTTGGTGTGATAAGAAGTTCTGGGTATTTGTAAACAAAAAAATATATAGGAAAGGTTTATTCAAGCAGAGCTTATTGTCTGCACTGGCCATTACAGTAGCCGCTAGCCATATGTGGCTACTGGGTAGGAAAATGTGAGTAGTGTAACTGGAGAACAAAATTTTTAGATTTAAAATTTCAAATTTAAAACTGATATTTAATTCAGATACTAGAACACATGCAAGTGTGTTTGGAACAGTTTGGATAGGCAGATCTACTTTTCTAACTTTAAATTTCATGACATAACATACAGATCAAGTATTTCCAACAAAAATTCTGCATCCAAATTGCGATGTAAAATACATACCAGGTTTCAAGATTTAGTACCAAAAAAATGCAAAGTAGCTCAATGATTTTATATATTGATTCATGTTGAAATGATAATATTTTGGATATGTTCAGTTAAATAAAATCTATTACTAAATTAATTTCACTTTCCCTAAGCTTTTTAAATGTGGCTATTTGAAATT